TTATATATTTTGCCAATTCTTTGTATTTTTCAAAACAAGAAAAATGAAACTTAGTAGGAAAACAAGTATAACCCACTGCTTTAAGTTTCATGTTCATATCTAGAAGTATAATAGGCGTTACTGCCATTTATCAATGAAAAAACCAGGGCCTAGAAAGGCAGAGTGATTCATCAAAGTAGGTGCACTTCAGTCAACAAACCAAGTTCCTGAGTTTGGAGATGTTTCCATTGGTAAAAATAAGAATAAAATAATGAAAAGATAATAAACAATCCACCAAATAACTTAGACAATTCATCTGTGAGACTTTTTCAATCAGAGAAACATGTCATTACTTAGCCTGACAGATGAAAGATGACTGAATAAATAAGTGAATACTCAAAAAAAAAATTCCCACTGTTTCTTATGATAAAAATGAATAAAACTAAGACAATATTCTATGTGATTAGAGATGAGGTGACATTTCAGCCATGAAGACCACATGACAGGTTCAGAGCTGTCCGTGCTTTGGATGACACCTACCTTTGTCACCCTTCTTCCCATTCTCCAGTGGTTACATCAGATTTCCATTCTCAAATCATTACAAACACAAATTTTTATTTTTGTAAAGTAGAAATGATATTTCCACTAACATATGCAATGTTATCAATAAGCGAGGAGCTTCAAAAAAGAAGTGAAATATGAAGACTTTTGAAAGAGCCCAGCATTTCCCGAAAGGCCAGTGGGATCATGTCTGTTCAGCCAGAGAATGAGAGACTCAGAAGACTCAAGTTTTCAAATAACCAAAGGAAAAAAAAAAGTCAGTTTCATTTTCACTAAGAAAAGGTATAAAAAAGAAAAGGTTTATATTAAGGCAATAGAATTTAGACTATATATCAACTGGTAAGAACTCCCTGCCTAAACAAAGACATACCAAGAGGGACTATGTCTCTAGTGGCTTTTAAGTAAAGATATGCAAGTCACTTTGTGAATTGCTTAAAAGTAGACACAGATTCACCTATGCACAAGATGATGCCCTTTCCTGCATGAACAGTCCCAAACTGCTATAGCACTTTTATGACTTCTTTTGCTTTTATGATGGAAAAAGTCCTTCACCTACCCAACATCAGAGAAGTATCAACTATATTTTAGAGGTGCATTATTTTACATTTAATTCTCTAATTCAGCTGGAATTTATTCTCATGAATAGTATGAGAAAAGTCTTAATTTTTGCCCCCAAAAGCCTTATCAGCTATCCTAGTGATTATTGGTATATTTACAAATAGCTTAGGTATTCTGTTATAGCCAGGGTATATATAGATACTTCCCTAAATTGCTATCTTGAAGGAGCACTTTATTCTGGCCATTGACATAACAGAAATTATTTTATTTGGAGGTGATTCAAAATCCTTACCTTGGCCCATCTACATCTTCAAAAGCTCCAGACATAAGCTCTGGGTTCTCAGAGCAGAGAGCACCACTAGCAAGAACTTTGAACTAACATGGGCAAGAGCCCTCTGTCTGGTCAAGCATACCAACTAGGCACCCTCTGGGAAAAAAAAAAAACAAAAAACAAAAAAACACTGTTTTACCTCAAGAATTACCACAGGATACAGATCCTGAGATAACTTGAAGAAACTAAGAGCAAGAGGTAATAAGTCCAAGATAGCACATAGCTCCAGAGGATCTCCTAGCAGTCATCAGACAAAAGAACGAAAGAATGAAAAGTTGACCCTTATAGAGCTCTCTAGATTAAAAAAAAACATAGATCTCAACTATTTAGTTTGATAATCCAGTATACAATCAATCTAGTGAATTTCGATGATATTTTCTAAACCTGACATTTAGAAGGTAGGGAGCAGCAAAGAGCTACTCAGTATTCTAGCCTCTGAGCAAATAAACCAGGAGGCGAAAGCCCAAGTGCCTGCAGGGGCAGACAAAAGGGATAAAGGAGCAAAGAGTCCGGTGAACTTGGCTTCAGAGTGTGAGAAGCAGTGGGAAGCACTGCATATTGGAGTCTGTGTCCCTGGAACACGTGCTCCTTCTAGTGGTGGCACTAGCCACACAGATGCAGCAGTCTGTGCCCAGGAAAATTCAAGCCCAGAGCTGCCACGTTTTCTACTTTTTCTCTTCACAAATTTACAAATTCTTACGTGAATTTCCTCTTCCAGTTTGGCAATTAATTACACTTTCTTTTTAAAACACACAGGTAGGGGTGCCTGGGTGGCTGTCAGTTGAGCGTCTGACTTGAGCTCAAAGTCATGATCTTGCAGTTTGTGAGTTCAAGCCCCGGTTTGGGCTCTGTGCTGACAGCTCAGAACCTGGAGCCAGATTCTGTGTCTCCTTCTCTCTGCCCCTTTCCCGCTTGTGCTCTGTCTCTCTCTCACTCACTCTCTTCTTCTCTCTCAAAAGTAAATAAACATTAACAAAACAAAAAAACAAAGCAAAACACAGAGGCCAAATCAAATGTATTTATTAGTCAGATTTGGCCCAAAGATCACCAGTGTGGGAACTCAGATCATAACATTATACCACCCACAAGTCACCCAACTGTCCAAACACCATCCCCTGCTGCCAAACCCTTTTGTGCTTTCTATGTGTCTCCATTTGTCCTCAATATGACAAATTACAGCAAGCTACAGAGCTCAAATGATTCCAGGGCACACAAGGAAAGTGAGTGAAGGATGCTACATCATCTCATTCACCTCTAATTTAAGAGTCAGCCAAACTCTATTGTAATAAGAAACTGCCATTTTGGAAATGAACAGTAATTATTAAATACAGCTATGTTGTTTGGTCAGACTGCTGACCCAAATTAAATCATTTTCTAGTGATTAAAGAGTAATTCTTACATCTCCCCAAAAATAATGTTTCTTTTTTTTGTTTGTTTGGTTTTTGTTTGGTTATGTTTTGGTTTGTTTGTTTAAGATCTCTTAGATATTTTTTCCAGTACCAATAACTAACGGCTCTCAAAGTCACAGCTTTTGCATCAAGCTAGCATTATTTCATTCTAGAAGCAAAAGAATAAACCTCAAAAAATCCATTAATTAAACTGAAAATCATTTCCACTGAAAATGCTATAGGATTTTTAGCTTCTACACAAAGAATGCTGACTACCTACTTTATTACTTACTTACCTAATAGCATCCTACTGCAGTCCATGTAAGTCAAAAGGTTTGAAGAAGTGAGTCAACCACACCAAGATTCAACCTATATATCTGCTTTGTACATATCTACGTATAATACCTTTTCCCACAGACTCTTACTAGGATTACTGTAGTAGATGATATTTATTGATTATATAATGAACAAATTTATGATAATCTAGAAGTCTTTGTATTTCTTCTTTTACTACATAAGGATCTAAAATATATGGTTTTCAATGCAGGGTGTCTCAAACATGTTCACTTGAAAAGGACTGGATCAGAGAAGGATAAAAAATCTTGACTACCCTTACACATTAGTCTATTCTTGCTGATAATTAACTGCCATAAATTCTCTAATCTATCCATCCTTCTCCACCCTAAATCCTGTATTAAGTGATATTTTAGAGGACAGCTGATTCTGACATCAATTTGGTAGTAATCAGCTTTAATTCCTAGCAGAGAATAAATGAACAATTATGGTAGAATAGACCAGTGACGTCATAAACACAGTTGATTCAAACTGGAATCTGTTCTCTAAAAAAAGTTCCATGTACTTATGTTTCCAAGCAGATCATTTTTACTACAGAACATTGTGAAAATGGAAAATGAGAAGAAAACCTAAGTAATTTTTATTCCAGTCTTTAGAACTCTTATTTTACCAGTGGCACAATAGCAGTAATTGCCTAAAAGAATCTACTCAGTGAGTCCAAATGCATATTAAACAACAGCAAGTATGCATCATTAGGTATGATGTTCAAAAGGACACAAGCACTCGATCTTCTGGTTGAAAACAAAACACCAAGATGTCCCAGTGGTCTCAAACCCCTGTTAACAGGCCTAATCCTTTCATCTGTTCCCAGTGTTAATCCCTCTAAAAACAAACTCATTCTTATGCACATGATTTATAGTTATAGTATTTTGTTTCTTCTTATCAGAAAACTTACAGAAACTTAAAATTTAAAGTAATGTGCTATGAGATCAGGTAAATTGCTCAAATATTGCTGACAGTTATTTCATTAGGACACTGTGGTGGCATCCATACTTTCCAAGAAGAAAAGATGGAAAGGAGAAAGGGAAGAGAAGAGAAGAGATAGGAAGGGAAGGGAACGGAAGGGAAGGAGGCTAAACCCCACAGTACTCAGGAACAAGAGCGTGCAAATTCCTACAAATTTACATAACAGAGTATGATACCCACACAATAATCGGTCATTAAAGGCAAACAATAAAACAATAATATTTATTGAACAACCACAATAGCAACAGGAAAATCTGATATCCAAGAAGAAAGGAACAATATCAAAAAGGCCTATAGCAATAACATTGATTTTTGTCCCCTTTCTACCCCGCTTTTATGACACTGTAAATTCTGACATATAGATCTTTGTGAAGAATAATAACAAGCTTCAGAGAATGATGAAGTTATTATATTTATTTTTCATGTCACACATAACAAACAGCCCTACAGAAACCTGTTCCTTCTATGAAAAGAAATTAGATTTCTAAATGAAAATCTGTCTCCCATATATGACTGTTCTCGAAGGCACATTCAGAGTTGTAGATCTACTTAAACAGTAAATGTCAAATTGACATTCTTCTCTACCAAAGAAGTTACACTGTTTTGCACAAAAGTGACACAGAGCATATTATTCTTTCTTAAGAAGTAAAAACGATTGGCCCTTGCTTTGAGCTTCTTAGCAGAGCTTAACAATTTCTTTTCCTCCTTCACAGAGCAGGACCGTAACTAGGCAAGCACCTCATCCGTTTTTTATTTCAGAAACGCTATGGAGGTTTGACTAATGGAAATCTCAAGACACTAGAAAACGAAAATGATTCAGTATCAATAATACAGACACACATTCATTATATATTCCAACTTACCTAATACACTGACAAAGGCATCAAAAAGATGAAACGTAAGCAGAGGCTCTTTCAAGTGACCATAGTAATCTGCTATAGTTTTAAAGACATCTTTTTCAAATCCTAAATACATAGGCTGCTTCATATCTGAACAGTTAGGCCCTGTTTAAAAAAAAAAAAAAGAGAGAGAGAGAGAGAGAAGAAACATTACTGGGATGATCACATAAAGATTAGTTTCTGTGTGTACAGATCTTCAAGATCACAAAAGTTTTCATGGGGAAAATTGATGTTATATAAAAGGACTTTATACATTTGCTTACACAAATACTCTTTATGTCTAAATCTAAATCTATTATAAAACAAGAAGGAAAATCACTGGCTTACTTGCATTTTAAAAGAAACCCACTCTTTCTTTTATATCCTTCTGAAAGGCATTTTTATTAAATGTATACGATGATTATTTTCTTTGAAATATTCGATGTTTTCCTAGGCTTGACACAGTTGGCCAACATTAAAAAGCAATATTCAAAGCTTTTCAGTATTTTATCATTGCTATATTATGAAATCTTAGAATCAGAGTTGAGTTAATCAATTCCCACCTCTAAACTATTTCAGACTAATAAACACTCTTTTTCTTAAAGATATTCTAAAAAGGAGATTTTATACTGTGTCCTGTGATTCATTCTGATTACAAAACCCTATTTGATCCCTAACCAACCTTCAAAAGATAATGTATCAAGCAGAGCATATTCCAAAGTTAGGGTAACAATAAGAAGCCTGGAACAATGTGGTCCCAGCCATATCCCATGGAGACAGCAAGGCAAAGATCCAGTTATATCTGGCACCAAAGAGGAACAAGAAGAAATGCCTAGCTCTCTACAGATATAGCAGCAAATGCCCCCCAAGAATCCACACAAAAACCATAGAATGACACTGCCAAGTGGAGAGACAAACCAGAGATGCATGTGCCTTGGGGAAAGGGCAAGTGGTCTCATAAGGGGGAGTTTGGCTAGTCTTCTCAATTTCTGTGACAGCGTGGAAGAGAGAAGTGCAAGTGCACTGGCCAGTTCTGGGCCAGCAGCACACAAGACTAAACAACTAGATCCAAACAGAGCTCTATCCTCAGGAGAGCAAAAGATAAAGCCAATAAAAACTGAAAGAAAGCCTTCCACCAGCACCACTGTAACTAAAGAGAAAGGGTCAAACTAAAAAGAACAGATAAACATTCTGGGCCTTCACATTTCAAGGCTAATAGGACAAAATGAAAATGGCTTTTTGTTGGTCCTCCCTTAAAAACCCTCTTACCTTTTAATACTCTGTATACTTCTCATAAAATAACTGAATTTGATTGACTAAAATAATGAAAATTATGAAAGACTTATGTGTGGCACCATGTTAATCTGGCAGCCAACATAGCCACCATTCTTGATTGCTTCCTCCTTTGAAATAACCCAAGCTTCATCGATTGAAATAATTAGTTTAATGTCTCAGTAATCCATATTGTGGTAAATTACTCCCTCCCAAGATAAGCATGTGGTTGATTGTAAGCAGCTGTATCCCTGTAGAAACATTTCATCATTCTGGTGAAAAATATGCAAAAACAAAACAAAAAAAGTTTCCATACAAATGCAAATGCATGGTAGGCCTTATGAGAGGAGGCCATATTTCTAAGATCTTCTGTTTCTTAATCATCTTGAACTTCAGAATAGCTTTTATAAATGTTATTTCTGACAGATCTTGAAAAAGAGTTGTATCTGTTTTTTTACTTGAACCCTTGCAATATAGATGCACAAAGAAGAAAAACACAGTTAACCTGGCTTTGTATTTAGTACCAGTTCATTATCCTATGACCAACCACGAAGCTGGCCAACAAGGAAAGTACAAAGGCCTATGTGTACATGGTCTACCAAGGGGCCTCAGAGAAAGAGGTAGGCAGCAAATTTACAGAAAAGGGGGCAAGAGGCCTTCCAAACATCATCTAAGTCAGCCATTCTATCCTTTCTGTCCCTTATTACATGACTATATTGGGAATCTAGACTCAATAAGGATGAGAAGGATAAGGAACAGGTCATGACTTTGATAGACTCAGAGTAAATTCAAGGGGCCAAGGAGTATTTGGAAAACTTAATAATTTCACAAAACTATTCAAAAGGATGTTCTTGTCCTTTGGTCATCTTTTTTGTCTTAGACACAAAAGTAAGCATTTCTATGGATATACCAACTATCTGTAAAACGTGATATATGTTAGACATGTTCCTGTTCCCAAGAATTTCCACCTAATAATATAACACCACCACACACAGAGAACATTAGTAAGTTGCTCTTTACATCTTTCTTCTCCATTGATAAGTAATTCCAGTTATTCTAATATTCCTGCAGAAGTTTTTGTGCCTAAAAGTATACATCTTACTGGTGGGAAAAATTATACTCTTCACAATGTTTTGACCATCATTGAAAAATCTGTATCATAATCCCACCTTAATATTCGTTATACAACATATTATAGCCTAGATTTGTCATACTGGCTTCTTCTATTCTTTCCCAGTTCATCAATTATCAAATCCTTGGTTTGCCAGGAATTTAAAAATGGGTAATTTAACTTTGCATTTAGACCTTCTATCTCATCATTGCCAACTCTGGCCAAAGATATAATTTAAATTTAATTTACCTCAAATGGTTGAATGGAAACAAAAAGCACTCTATCCAACTAAAAACCACTCTACATCTCAGAGGTTCCAAAATATTAACCAAAACCAATGAAAATTTAATAGTTAAACACAGAGAACTTTGGCTTTCACACAAGCTAATAATTGGTATTCATATTCAGAATGACAGTATATAATCATTGTCCACATATTATGACTGAGATTACCTACAGTAAGTTGCCTTGTTATCTTAATTTCATTCTATAATCACACAAAACTAACACTAATTAAATAAATCATTCAGGGTCTATTAACTCAAAATTTTATTACATCTGTCTTTGTACATGCTAGTCCTACCTAAAAGGTACCTCTATCAGGCCATCTGTGAGGCTTAAAGGTCTCATAGGCCAAATATCACCATTATTAGTCAGCCAAAAGAACTAGAATTCTTCTCATTAAAATCACTTGTTGGGGTTAAGCCATTAACCATTAGAATCCCTTCTTTGGGTTATACCTTCTAAAAAATCTACAGAAAAAAAAGACAATGTTAGTGAGATACTGTAATACATTTGTCACAGTGTCTACGATATCAGATGACGTGGATATCATATGCCTATGAAATGGACGGTGCATGCCTATGAAAATCCTCAGAAGGACCACCATAATCCAGGCCCCCTCATTTTACATCCAATTACTGAAACAGTCCTTCTTGTTTCTCCACATGCAAGTTCTCCTTGCAAGCCATCCTGCTTATCAGTCAGACTAGTCTAAACATCTCTTTCCCACTTAAACTGGTGACCCATAAAAAGCCAATAGTAGATAGGATCTGCTGAGCAAATGGAGATGTAAATATAGGGCATATTTAAGGATATGTTTTAGGAATAAAATATATGCTTTTTTAAAATATAATTTATTGTCACACTGGCTTACATACAACACCCAGATCTCGCCCCAACAAGTGCCCTCCTCAGTGCCCATCACCCACTTTTCCCTCTCTCCCACCCCCCATCAACCTTCAGCTTGTTCTCTGTATTTAAGTGTCTCTTATGGTTGGCCTCCTTCCCTCTCTGTTTGTAATTTTCTTTTCCCCTTCCCCTTCCCCATGGTCTTCTGTTAAGTTTCTCAAGATCCATATGAGTGAAAACATATGGTATCTGTCTTTCTCGGCCTGACTTATTTAACTTAGCATAATACCCTCCAATTCATTGGGGCAAATGGCAAGATTTCATTCTTTCACATTGCCAAGTAGTATTCCATTGTATAGATAAACCACATCTTCTTGATCCATTCATCAGTTGATGGACATTTAGGCTCTTTCCATAATTTGGCTACTGTTGAAAGAGTGGCTATAAACATGGGGGTACATGTATCCCTATGCATCAGCACTCCTGTATCCCTTGAGTAAATTTCCAGCAGTGCTATTGCTGGGTCATAGGGTAGTTCTATTTTTAATTAAAATATATGCTTTAGAAATAAAAATGTATAAACTGTCAACAGGCAGCTATCTGTATAGTATTATATTCAATATTACTAATTTTTCTTTATTGTGATGAAACAGTCAGAAGAAGTAGTATGGACAAATCTGTAGTGTGATTACAAGTATGAAGAAAAAGCAGCACAAAATTCCTTTATAAATGTTCTATAACTTAGCCCTTTCACCAAGTCACAAATTCATCACTAAAAGCACACAAGTCCCAAAATAAGTAACTGCCAGTCTCACAGGTGTCAAATCAATGTTCAGGCCATTGAGCAAAAATATTTTCTAATTCAGGGCACTAATTTCTGTTAACCTCACAAAACTGGAGGATAATTAGTACTTACAATTTGCCAAACACTTCATAGCTGACAGTACCCAATGAGGAAGTTCTTCTGCAAAGAAAAGAAAATAAAAAGAAGATATTTTACTCAACTACATATAATTCAAAAAATTGTATACATACATAGTATCATAAGAATATATAACCTACCCAAATAATATGAAACATATCTGCTAATTACAAACCACAAATCACCTATTAATATAGCCAAATGTTTAAAAAAAATGGAAATTTTCCTGTAGCAGCAGCGTTCCAACATATGCTTTTATAAACCATGCCTATAAATCTCTCTAAGGGTAAGATGCACCTTTTGAAGCTTTGATGAAAAGTAGAAATCTGACAGTTTATTCCAAAGAAACAAACGAACAAAACCAGTTATCCTAAGAATTAAAGAAGGAAAAGAAAAACCAGAAAAAGTAAAAATATTAATCATCAATTATATTTGTGAATTCAGTTCACCAAATACCTAAAAAAAAAAAAAAAAAGGTAAAATCTGTATATCCAATGTCCTATATAAGTATCATTTTACACATTTCAATTTTCAAAATGTTTCAGGGCAAGAAAGTTCTACTGATACACTAATATAGGCTATTCCTTTTAGGACAGCCTTAAAATAATAACTGTTAACACCGTTATAAAAAATCCCAGCTGAGCCTTTTTTCCTGAGTCTCTCCCTTCCTGGCACTGGCAGAGACCTCTGATGAGATGGACCACCATTCATGTTTCCCCTGCTCCACTCTCTAAAACCTGCAGAGATGCTGGTTGAACCTGAGGCTCTTCTTTCTGAAGAATGTGATAAGACAAAAGATGACTGGTCATCTAAGTGGTAGGTGAAAGTATTCATGTTTGCAGCAGTCAAAGAATGTGGAAGGATTTTAGATATATTTCAAAGGCAATACCTCCTTCATTCTACGTAACTTAATTTTATATGTTGATATTAAACCTGACAACTCACGAGGTCACAAATTCATGTGCTTCCTTAATGTCCTCCAATCCCAATACAGGGGCTATATAAAAGAAGTGTTTCAAATTTCAATGACACATTCTGTTCCTGACAGGAACCATGGCCTAGAAAAACCTCTTCCCCTCTCACAGCAGCTAAGGTTCCTTCTGGTAGAGTTCCATTTTGCTGCCCAGGAGACTCTAGCCCTAAACTTAATAATAATTTATAAAAACTCCAAAAGTACTACACCATTTTCCCACATCCAAAGGTCATTCTAGTTCCAGCTATTACCAGGACCAAGGGTTGGAAGTAAAGGAAGAACCATTCAAAAAAATCCATCTAATTCTGGTCCATCCCTGACCCAAGAGAAGAAAGCTTTAAAATCAGTTTGGGGATTCTGGCCCACCATGCATACCGTGACCTTATTTTTTCAAACAAAAAAACCAGGATAGGTAGCTGCTTAATGTCTTTTTTTCCTGATTTGTAAACCGGCTTGGAAGAAAAGGTATGAAGAAACTGAAGCACCTACAGCATTTAAAGAACTACCTTTATTAATGACAGTAACAACAACAAAAATGGCATAAACCAAGACTATTATGGAAAATCTACCATAGAGATGCCATAATGAAAAGGTCGGTGAGAATCTAAAATCAGTCAGACTCACCTGAAACCTAAAATCAGTCTCCAAGACCCAGTTGCAAACTGACTTAAGCAATCAGATCTTAAACCTACTTATTTTTCAGGGATTTTCTGTGAATAATACAGAACCACTTAATTCCCAGTGTGGCTAACACTGAACTAGCCTCTGGATGGACTGTGCTGAGGCTTTGACTCCTGGATATTCACCTTTCTATGACATGTCCTTAATCCACACAATCATTTAAAAGGCATGAAAGTGAGACAAGGCTATGTATAATGAGGAGGTACATTGACTGAGGGTTTGGAGAATGGTCAAAAAGAAGCCGAGGGACCTGTGCAGCCAGCATAGTGGGTCAAATGGGACCACAATGGTTTTTATGCACTTACTTGACTTGTCATCAAGGATGACAACTCCCTGCTTGCTCACGCTATATACATTATGGATGATGAACTTGGAGTTGACCAGTTTACTATCTAGGACTTCTTCCAAAGAATCCAGACCAAGAACTTTCTGTAAACTGAAAAGACATATGGTAATTAATTACTTTTAAAAAATCATTATTACCCAAAAACCTGACATGTAAAAGATCAATCTTCAAAATGTGCTGCTTTCAGACATTTTACACAATCTTTGGCAAAAAGAAAAGAAAAAAAATATGATGAAACAAATTTAAAAGTACCTTGGGCCATTAACATATTGCTTCACTACTTTAATATCATAACACCTTAAATGCCAGGAAAATGATTTCATAAGAAACGATAAAAAGAGAAAATACCTTAACCAATGATGGGAAACTGCAACTAGTACATCTTTGTGAGGGAAAGAAAATGCTCTATAACATTATTTACTTTAATTATCTATAATATAATAGATACTATTATATCTAGCAAGGATATCAATATACTATTATATCCTAGCAAGGATCTAGGAGATGAAATTTACCACTGTGTTTCATTAAACAAAAAACTTCAGTGTCGCTAGAAAGTTTAAGAACCTTTAAACTCCTATTCTTAACTGTCATATAAATGACAAGAGAAAATTCCCAGAATCCATTTAAATTATGTTTGCTAAGCAGCATAGCGGCAAATAATGCAAAAAGAAGCTATTAATACATAATTTCAGAAAATTATATATGCAGAGAACAGAAGAGACGCAAACTACAAAAAAAAAAAAAGCACTCCAACTTCTCATTAATATCAAATGCACGTACTATGATAATGTCATAGACTTCCATATATCTTCTACATTGGACTCCGTCAGCTGTCTGCGGTAGACCAGACGGCAGGCCGGCACCTCTCCGATAGCAATACTGTGACGCTTGTACCACATCTCAGAGTTCTAATTGCGGGGAGGGGAGAAAGAAAAAGAGAATAAATACTTCAATAGGCAGTGGTATGAGAAATTTCTTTGACTTGGTTATTTGTAATTTGATTTAAAATAATAACTAGAAATATAAACTAACTTTCTTTGCACTGACTGTAGAGAAGTATAACTGTTAAGGATCAGGTCATATTATAAATGAGTATTCATAAATTGCAAAAGAACTTTGGCAATAAGCATGACACTGCCTAGCTATTTTCTCCTGTGGGAATTCCAACTAATCAACGAGGTAGTCAGGAAATACAATTGTATTAATTCAAAACTTAGTCAAAGAATACCGATCCATATTCACACACTGTCCAAACTGAGTGAATGTTTAAAACAAAATTAAAGTCTATTACTTTCAAGAAGTCTATTTTTTATAAGCAAAAATCAAAGAAGCACAATGTTGAAAAGCAGCCCCCAGATCTTAGGCAACTACAGAAGGCAGGAAAAACAAGAGCTCCCAGAAAACTGGAGACAGTAGGAAGAAAAACTAAAATTCAGAGAGGTTAAATAATCTGCTCTACCAGTGCAACTAAGTATCTCCTTTCTCAGATAGGCTACTAGACATTTAATCCCGAAGCTTCCTTTTTATAATCACAAAGAGAAACACTGAGGTTTTACAGACAAAACATATAAGAAATCGTTTACAAAGATTTTCTGTAATAGTTTTTTACAATAGTATCGTTATAGAAAAATCTTATAAATTTGGATGAAAGGAGCAGGAAAGTTGTTTTATGATTTTGTTTTTGGAGAATTACTGAATTACAAAAGAAAGCCAAAGACCATGTGGGTTTGTGCATTTTTTTTAAGTATCTAGATTAGATGTCCATTTTTGAAGGCAGGCATGTAAGTTGCTGCATTTGCCTAGCAAATCTACTTCCAAAAGTTATCTTCAAGAAATATCATGGAGATACTTAACTATTTATCCATAAAGACACTGCCCATTATGTTGTTTACCAGAAAACTAGAAACATGGTATATATCACAGTAAGGGACTAGATACATGAAATATATTACTTTTACATCAGACAAGATGCAGATATTAAATATGATGTTGAATGTTTTTTTAAAAAAATATTTTTATTTATTTCTAGGAGAGAGAGAGAGACAGCGTGAGCAGGGGAGGGTCAGAGAGAGAGGGAGACACAGACTCAGAAACAGGCTCCAGGCTCTGAGCTGACAGTCAGCACAGAGCCCGACGCGGGGCTCGAATCCACAAACCGCGAGTTCATGACCTAAGCGAAAGTCGGACGCTCAACCGGCTAAGCCACCCAGGCGTCCCTGTCGAATGTTTAATAATATGAAAAACGATGGCTCAGTTGGTTAAACATCTGACTCCTAGTTTTGACTCAGCTCATGATCTCATGATTCATGAGTTCAAGCCCTCATCAGGCTCTGTGCTGACAGTGTGGAGACTGCATGCGATTCTCTCTCTCTCTACTCCTTCCATGTTTGCACTCTCTCTCTCTCTCCCTGTCTCTCTCAAAATAAATAAATAAACTTAAAAATAATAACATGCAAAAAAGCAAAACATTATTCTAAGTGAAGAACAAAGGCTACAAAAAGCTCAACATGATCTCATTTGGGGGGTAAAAAAAATGCACAGAAAAAAGGATACAGAAGAAAAATGTTAGCATTAATTCTCTCTGGAAGATATCACTGGTGATTTACTTTCTTTCATCTCTGCCTGAAAACAATTCTATTGAATAAGTGAATCACAGCAATAGTAGTTAACAGTTACTGACTACCTGTGGGCCAGACATCATTCGAAGCACTTTATAGATATGAACTCACTTGATTCTCACAACAAGCCTACCCCAGAGGGTACTATTATCATCTCAGTTTCACCAATATGAACACTGAGACATGAACACAATGACTAAAACAGAGAAACAAGTCCAAATAACTAGTAAATGGAGGAGCCAAGATCCAAACCCAGTAGTCTGGCTCTGGAGTCCACAATTTTACTTTCTGTACTATATTGCCCTTCAGGAAACACATTAGTTTTATTTTATTATTATTACATGTTTTTATTTATATAAGTGGCTAGGCAAGAGAAAAGACAGGTTTAAACAAAAGCCACCAAGCAAAGAGGAAGCAAAGATAGAAAGAGGAAAATAAAATAGAAGAAATGAATGAGGAGCTGAAATTCTTTAAGAAAGATGAAGCTTCTTCATTGACTATTAAGCTCATCATTCTAAAACCTATACCAAGGCCCAAGTTGGGAAACAGATCCTGCTCTGCCATCCTTGCTGTGGACAATGCTCAAGAAGTAGCAGCAGGGGCTCCTGGGTGGCTCAGTCAGTTGAGCGTCCGACTTCAGCTCAGTTCATGATCTCACAGTTTGTGGGTTCGAGCCCCGCGTCGGGCTCTGTGCTGACAACCAGCTCAGAGCCTGGAGCCTGTTTCAGATTCTGTGTCTCCCTCTCTCTCTGACCCTCCCCTGCTCACGCTCTCTCTCTCTCAGAAATAAATAAAACATTTAAAAATTAAAAAAAAAAAAAAAAAAAGCAGCAGTCGAAGCTTTGCTGGAATTACAATGAGCAGGGTTTACAATTTGCTGGAATTACAATTTGCTGGAATTACAATTTAAATACATCCAGTATTTATATTAAGCAGGAAGCACAAGAGAAGGTGAGACACAAGGATCAAAACAAATACAGGTACAGATGACCTGGGAAAGGATAAGCTTTAGGGGAAAATGGTTGATGACTCTAGGACACTGGTATACCTCAGGGCTCCTGAAAAATGCGAAAAGGAAAAGAAAAGAAAGAAGTCATTGTCACTGGAGCATTAAAGTATGCTAATGAGCACTTGGTCTTCTACAGGTGACACCAGGAATATTACAGCTTCATAGAACCAAGTGGAATAGAAAAGGGAAATTATTGTTATCGGTGACAGAAATACACATTAATTTAATATGCGATTTTATCTCCTTTGTATAAATGACATTGGATGACCTTATAATGAAAAATCAAGTCTGCTGAATAACCACCTTACCAATGGGATCCTGTAACATGCTTAAATGCAAATGTTAAAACAATGTACCTGATCTCATGGAGCTTATATTTTAATTTTCCCTAGGGCAAAAACTATCAACTAGACCTTAATTAAATACTTATTAGGAATGAATCAAAAGTCCACTCTAAGGGGCACCTGGGTGGCTTAGTCGGTTAAGCGTCTGACTTTTGCTTGGGTCATGATCTCGCGGTTTCTGGGTTTGAGCCCCACATCGGGCTCTATGCTGACTGCCAGCTCAGAGCCTGGAGCCTGTTTCAGAGTCTGTGATTCCCTCTCTCTCTCTGACCCTCCCCTGCTCACGCTGTCTCTCTCTCTCTCTCTCCTAGAAATAAATAAAAACATTTAAAAAAAAAAAAAGTCCACCCTAAGACACCTGACTTTGTTTTTTAATTAGTTTTATATTGTAGGCCTCACTAGACTATGAGTTTTTTTAGAGTAAAAACTATATCAATATTACTGTTTCTGAGGAGCCTGGCACATGCATGGCACACAGGAGACACTCAATATATCTTTATTGAATGAATAAATTAATGACTTCCAAATACGATCTTGCTTTTTAAGTTCCAGGATCATTATCTCCATCTGCCTGTAAGACCCCTCCATTTAAGACGAGCCAAGTTTATCACCAATCATATTTAAATCCAAATTCATCACCATCCTGACAAACCAGCAAGCCCTAAAAGGAGTTCTTATTTCTGTCATTAGTGCCACTCTCTTTCTAGAATTATCTTTGATAAAGCCTAAACTTCTTAGCTATTCTCTTCAAACTGAGAATACAATCTCTTTAAAAAAACAAATGCTTTTTCTTTTAATTACATTGCTAAAAATGTTTACATCCTATCTTTGCAAACAAACGTATGAACTAGACATCTAATGCTAAGACTAACTTAAAGCACTGGTGTGAGATATAATTCTTTTAATTTTTTTAACGTTTTATTTATTTCTGAGAGAGAGACAGTGTAAGCAGGGGAGAGTTAGAGAGAGAGGGAGATACAGAAACTAAAGCAGACTCCAGTCTCTGAGCTGGCTGTCAGCACAGAGCCTGACAGGGGCTCGAACCCACGAACTATGAGATCATGACCTGAGCCAAAGTTGGACACTTAACCGACTGAGTCACCCAGGCACCCCATGGTGTGAGTATAATTCTTAAAAAATGCCATATAAAAGTTTTTCTTTGTAGTTTATTTTTTAATATTGTCTCAATCATGGTAGTCTTCTACTGGGAATGTTTAAGGAAAATGTACCCCCAAAATTAGTTTATTCTACAATATGCCTAGGTTTTTCAAAACTAGCAGAATGTACCTTTGTTCATCTATAGCATCAGGGGTCATTCCACAATACTTCACATCCTAACCCTCTCACTTTCAGTTGGTAATAGGACAAAATTCAGGAGAGACAAAGAGGGAGAAGAGTAAATTCTGGAACACAAGAGAAAGGGAGTTTGTCACAGAAACCTGCTTGCTCTGAACATATGAAAATAGCTACCATATATATGTCAGTGCCAACATGCAAGAGTGAAAAAGTTCAACAGCTAATCCTTCCCTGCTACAGTTCTCTCATCTATTGATATGTACGATGTTATTTTAAAGTACTTTCAGATCATTGTTCCCAAGGAACCAGCAGAAAGAAGACTAAGGCTGGTGGTTCACAGATCAGATCCTATTTTTGGTCGCCGTTAGACTCGCCCGCAGCCGCAGCCACCACACCACCATTACAGCTGACGCCCCCGCCGCCGCCACCACCACCACCACTCCATCCTGACCATCCCACCCAATCTTATAGTAACACACTTACCATCACAACTGGCCTCACCGGGATGTTTTCTTGTGACGTCCCTGGTGGGGGGTCATTCCACTCCGGAAACTTTATAACATCCTTTGGGTAAGTAGGCTTCTTTGGATATGGTTTCAGGGGTGAAGAAGGAGGAAATCTAAACACCGAGAAGGAAATCTCTATTGTTGCAGTCAATGGGAGACACAGATACTTTAACAATAGTCCCCGTTTCTTGTATCCTTGAGAATTTATATAATTCCAAGCTTCAGATAATAAATGAATTCACACTCAAATTATTACACATGGCTAACTGTATCCAATAGATGATTTTTTTCAATATTCATTCATTATGCCTATGAGAAAACATTTATGAAGAAAAACAGGAATCCATCCTGTGAGACATTATTAAATAAGTAAATAAAATTTATTCTCTTATCAAATGATTTTCATCATTACAGATGTTCTAAATGGGCTGCTGGGGCAAGCCATTTCTCCACCCAGCTGGAAATCCCTAGCACCTCGTAACTCTCTGAAATGTACGGGTGGTTAAGTGTGCAAAAGAAAATATGGACAGATGAATCCTCAGTGATACTTGCTGAGGAAGAGTATACCAGCAGAAGACGCTTAGCCTAATGTTCATTTTTATAACTATTTCAAAAGAAGATTAATTAATCATCTTTCCCTTGAATATGGAACACTTCACAGTGAGATGGAAGATGCCTCAGTCCTGGAGGAGATGAAAGCTGTCCAATGTCCTTCTGCCTTTTGATACCCTCCTCTGTCTCTCTGCCTCCGAGTCATTGGTAGCATCACTCCTTGAACTAACACAGAGAAGCCTAAATATACTAACTCTCTTTAAATCAGTCTAGACTATAGGAAAACATATACTCCTCAAAATTCTTTCTTATAAAGAAAAACAAAGGTAACTAAATACATATTTTCCTCAGAGTAACTTTTCCTGTTAGTTTGTTAGAAAAAGATAGGCTGCATTGCATTGAAAAAATTAACACAAGAACTCTAGTTCTTAATGTTGACATGGATGTCAGTAAGTAGTTTACTTTTTATTTTTTTAAGCAAAAATAAAGGTTTAAAATCTCATCTATGATACCTGCAGGAAAAATAATCCAAATAAACTATAAAGATCTTACTGTTAAGGCAAATGCAGACAGAAGTAAAGAATTTTTAAATGCCTATAGTTTACCAAAAGAATTTATACTGAGGTGAATCAGAAGAATCACAAATAATAAGGACATTGGAGAAACATTTCAAAAACAGTCACAATAAACTTGATAACGAATGGCTAGAGGTGCCTGAGTGGCTCAGTCAGTTAAGCGTCCAACTTTGGCTCAGGTCATAACCTTGTGGTTCCCAGGTTCGAGCTCTGTGTCTGGCTCCATGCTGACAGCTCAGAGCCTGGAGCCTGCTTTGGATTCTGTGTCTTCCGCTCTCACTGTCCCTCACCTACTTGCACTCTGTCTCTCTCTCAAATAAATAAACAAACATTTTTAAAAAATGGGATGGCTGATAATGAGAAGCTGAATTTCATTTCTGAAAAAAATATCCAATGACTACACTTTAGTTGAAAAGTCAATGAGAAAAAAATGAAATCAAGTTAAAGATAAATAAACTGAAAGACAGCTTAAAAATTTTAATCAAGTTACAAGGCAAGTATTTTCAAACAATTCCAAAATATAAATTAAATCTCTAAAGCCTATAAAAGTTATTCAACTTCTTTTTTTTAATGCTTTATTTATTGTCGAGAGAGAGAGACAGAGTGTTAGCAGGGAAGGGGCAGAGAGAGAAGGAGACAGAATCTGAAGCAAGCTCCAGGCTCTGAGCTGTCAGCACAAAGCCCAACATGGGGCTCAAACCCTCGAGCCATGAGATCATGGCCTGAGCCAAAGTCAGATACTTAAGCAACTGAGCCACCCAAGCGCGCCCACTCCTTAAGTAAAGGCTGGCTTACAGAAGTCAAATCCTATTTCTAAGAAGCCAACAATCACAACAGAAGTCCTACTGCCTGCATATAGCACATATGCCACACTCAGGTGCACACAAACACTCTCACATTCAAATATACATGTAGTGTTGTGTAGTGTTGCAAATATTTCCAGGAAGTTCACAGATCACCCATCTCTCAGTTCTTTAAAAATTAAACACCATCCCAGGCTGCGTGGATGGCTCAGTCAGTTAAGCGTCCAACTTCAGGTCAGGTCATGATCTCATAGTTCATGAGTTCAAGTCCACATCAGGCTCTCTGCTGTCAAGGCAGAGGCTGCTTTGGATCCTCTCCCCCTTCTCTCTTTCACACGTGCTCTCTCTCAAAAATAAACATTAAAAATAATTAAACACCATACCTACTCCCAGTCCACCACTAACACCCTCTGCTCATCCCCCCAACTCCTTCAACTAAAGTGTGAAAACCTGACCTGTGGTCCAGCCCAAATTTCCTCAGGAACAGTCTGTGCGTCCTCTGGAAAATAACAGTGTCTCTAAGTCAAAATTTATTCATTTGTCAAATAAAAGGATTAAACTGAATGATCCATAAACATCCTCCTGGGTTCAAAATGTGTTTCTTGTATTCCCACAACCTGAAAAAAGTAATACCTTCCAAAACCCACAGCAGCAGTTCCTGTGTGAAGAATGTGACTGAAGAGATACCAGGAAGTATCTCTGCCTTTGTCCTGGGAAGATGGAGTTTTTGCCTTAACATCTACAGCTAACAACAGCAGGTGTGGGGTCTTTGCAGTAATCTGGCCAGGGTTGAAATGCAGAAGAGCTCCCTCTCATGGACTGCTTTTATTGTGTGCACTGAACATTTTCCAGTTAATTCTAACACTTTAATCCTGTCATCTCAGGCTTCAAAGTCTGTCAGAGAAGATCTAATCCAAATGTCACATTCTTTACTTAAGGAAATGAAAGTCCAAAAGAGAAAAGCAACTTATTAAAAGACTCACAACTAATTGGCCAAGTGAACAAAACATCTTGCACAAAAGATTTGTAAACCCTTTAATAGAAGGACATTATAAAACTATTAAAAGATATTAATGAAGTAAATTGATAGATATATCATGCTGGTAAATAAAATTCAATATCAATATTCAACAGCAAATGGCAATGTCAATATTCCTTATGGAGATAAATACTTTCAGAGAAATTCTAATTAAAATATAAAATTTTTTATGAAACATGATAAACTGATTCCAAGTTTATGTGGAAATCCAAGAGGCCAAAAACAATCAAGACATTCTTAAAGAAGAAGAACACAGGTAGGTGACTTACCCTATCAGCTGTCAAGGCTAATTAAGGTAATATGGTAAGGCTATCTGATGGCATACTATGGATTCTCGGCCTCAGCATGATTGGCATTTGGGGCTGGATAATCTTGTGGTGGGGAGCTGGCCTGTGTAGTGCGGGCTGTTTAGCAGCATCCTTGGCCTCCATCCATTAGATGCTAGTAGCAAACCCTCCCAGGTGTGACAACCAAAATTATTTCCACACATTGTCCCAGAAAAATGGCCCCCAGTGGAAAATTATGGGCCCAGACAGATGATCTCAAATGAACATATACATTTATTTAGAAACCTGGTTTATGACAGACCAGACACTACAGGTCAGTGAGAAAGTACGGACTGTTCAATAACGATTTCCGGTCCAAGGGTTCCACATATAGGAAATGGGAAACTGCACCCCTTTTGCAAATGGCACTTCCAAAGATGGTTTACAAAGGTACTTCCCACCCACATGCTTTTCTGCAAGTGATCCTGCCACTAGGCTATCAAAAGGCAGAGTATGTTTCTCTTCTCTTCTGTGTCTGGGTGAGACCCTTCCAAGGGCTTTGATAACTAGAAGATGGCAAGAGTAAGAGTGCGCCAGTTCCACAGCCTGTACTTGCTTCATATCATTAAGAAATAAATTTTATACTTCAAGTGTGAAAAAAAAGTTTGCCAGTTCTGGGCACTAGTGCTTACCTGGCCTGCAACACCCTTCCTGCCTCTTAGAGCTCCCGTTCTTCTTGCCAAGCTCCCTCTTATAGACTAGCCATCATGTAAAGAAGTGGGAATCCTGAGACCAGCATACTATGAGGCGCCTAAGCATCAAAAGGAGGCCGCAGAAGATGAGACACTGCATGGAAAGAAACTCGTGGTCAACGTGCATGGCAGTTCCAGACCTGTGCATGCAGAGGTCATCATGGAGGTGGATTTCCCAGCCTCAGCAGTCCCAACCAGTGTCCAGCTAAGACCTCCCAAACTTCTGACTTACGAAATTATGTAAAAACAACAACTGTCTTAAGCCACTACGTTTGGGCAAAGTTTTGTTATGCAACAACAGATAAGCTGAACAGAAATTTACTTATATCAGAACAAGCAGTCAGTGGACCTCTGAAGGGCCCTCAGGGAGACTTGTTACCGGAGTGTTGAAGGACTGTGAGGAGGCTGAGGTTGGACGTGTAGAAAAGACTCATGTTGCCTAACGGCATCAATTCCAGTCAAAACTGTCCCCTGCAGTGACATGGAAAACACGAAAGGTGGATTTCAATAAGGAGTTTTCCAGGATCAATGTTGAAAGTGCCAACCGGTCTCTTTCAGTCTTGATAACAAGGGAGGACAGAGATAAACTAAAGAAGGACCACTTCAAATTTTAAGCAGAATTTGGGGGAAACATAAAACAGTCATGACTTGACTCAAAAACGAAAGTATTTCTCATCCCCAGTCTCTCTCAAGAAAAGACGGTCAAAGTAAAAATGGCCTTATGACCAATATCAAATTCAAGATGTTTCTAATTAAACATGGTCCCTGGGTAGTCACCTGTGTGGCTATAAAAGACTTTTATTATAACCTTAAGGAGATTTAAGGCAGTACCTTACAGATCATCTTGGTTAAAGTTGGAGTTTAAGAATCTTGAAGGTGTTGTACCATGGCAGACTTATAAGTAGCCCAGGTAGAAAAGAGCCTGTTTCAAAGACACTTGTGTGACTTCTGTCTAATGGAATAAATCACAATAAAATTCACAGAAAAGCCACAACCACTAGCAGAATCACCATCCACTTGAACTAAAAAGGCAATAGTTCAAAATGCAAAAATACAGTCAAGAATCTCGAGCTTCTGTAAACAGGAAGTATATGAGAAAGTTATTTCACTGCAAACATGAGCCATT